TTTTAGGATGAGAGCTACTTTAAAAAAAAAAAAAAAAGTCGTGAGCTACTTTCACGCAGTGTATATATTTAGCACATTTTAACATTATGATATGCTGACCTTTAACCTTTGTGTGCTGTTTGGGTCTGTGGGACCCGTTTCCAGTGTTTACTAAAAGAAAATGTATGATTTTGTTTTAAATGTTGAAGTGAAATGCATCAATCTGGTGCACTTTGAGCACAACATGAATGTATGGATACAGCTCTCAACACAAAGGGAGCTGTATACGTTTCAATAATCCAAACATCTTTAGAATATGATCACAACCAATAACAAATCATTTAAATTTGTTTATTCTTATCTTATGTTACCTAGTTAGCATTCTTTCTTTTTATTTATACATATTTTACTAATCACTCCACTTTTAAACAGTTTACTGTCCTATAGTACATTGGAATGATTTCTTACTTTATTTTGTACAATTATATTAAATAGATAAAGGTGTGTTCTCTCTAGCTCTCTCGCTCGCTCACAGAGGCTGTGTGCTCCTCCGTGGCGATGATGGCTTGTGTTAAAAGATAATAATAATAAACATAGACCTATTTGTAAAACGGGGGGACACAAACGGGATTTCGAAAAGCCTCACGGTTAAACTCCTTACGAAGTGGCATGCCCGGCGCCGTGGGAGGGCCAGGGAGGGCCAGGCCCTCCCATTTGACATTCCTGCCCTCCCCAATAAACACGTTTTTTATTATTTATAAAAATTAAAAAATATATTTATTTTATTTTTTAAATTATAAATAAACTGTGAACTTTTATGCTGCGATGTATGTGATGTCAGAACAACAACAACAAAAATCGCAGGCTACGTCAAATAAATGCATGTGTGTGTTGTGATTTGTGATTCGTCCCCATTTAGACCAATCACAGCGTCACACTCTGCCGCCTATTCTGGATTTGTTTATTGTTTATTGTGCATTCTGTAGACTCCCATTTCTGTTTGAATTACAACATGGACATAACAAATTGGCTTAAAAGGTCTAAGGATTTATTCAAACGAAATAGCGATGAAAGAGCTGCAGCCGATGCAGCTGCTGGCGACCCTGCACCTGCCGTTGCAGCAGCACGCCTTAATGTCACAAGCTTGACCTCGGCAAACCCCGGGGCTGAGTTAGCGATGATCTTGTGGTTAATAAACCCAACCAGGTGAAGCTGGATCGTTATCCAGGGAGATTGTTTTCAGGAAAGAAGCGCACTTTTGCCGCTGCATGGTACAACAACAGACCATGGCTTGAATATTCGTTAGAAGCAGACGCAGCCTTTTGTTTCCCCTGTAGACAGTTTAAAGTCAATACGTCTTCATCTGATGCAGCTTTTACTGTCAAAGGTTTTTGCCACTGGAAACACGCATTACAGACTGATAAAGGACTGCTAAGGCATGCCGCATCAAAAGAACACATTTCATGTGAGTTTGTGGAGAGAGAGAGACAGATACGCGAGGAAACAAATAAGGAAATTAGTACTTTTGTGCAGATCAGCTGGCACGGAGCCGTTATTACGTGTCAGCTGTCGTTGATATTATAGCTTTTTTTAGCTGTCAACCAACTCCCTCTCAGAGGTGACTCGATTCACTCCACAGCATGTCCGAGTGCAGTGCATAGAAACATAAACCATGCCCAAGGCGGGCTAAACAGTTCATCGTCTCCGTCTCTACTATTTCTCTCCGAGTGCAGCGATGAGGAAGCTGCCATCCGTAACCAGTGTGCCTTGCTCGTGATTTACCAGTGTCTGTGCTGCCACGCACACAATGTTTCAAAAGTGGTTTCTATGTTGCCCTTTATTTGTGTATTTGCGATAAGTGTGCGTCTTTACCCAATGCTGTTGGCCTTGCTGTTTGATATCAATTATGCCGCAGGCCCGCAGCACGTGACGGTTTTGTGTGCCCTCCCATGAAAATCATATGCCCTCCCTTTAGATTTGTTCTGGCGCCGGGTCTGCGAAGTGGTGAGGTGCCGCTCCACATTGCTTTTCTTCCCGACTGTAACGCTGTTGTGTGTGTGAGTGTGAGAGCGATTTTTACATAATCTGTAAATTATTTTGGTTTCAGTTGTGTGTGTGTGAGCAGGCTCGGATTGGCCATCGGGAGATTCGGGACTTTTCCCGGTGGGCCGCTGCCATTGGTGGGCTGCTGCCTTCGGTGGGCCGCTGGCTCTGGCATGGGTGGGCCGTGGACTTTCACAGCGCTGCTGCGCCGTTGCGAGGCTCTGGCGGCTCCGGCAGGTCCGGCGCAGCGGTGCTGTGAAAGACCACCGCCGTTGCGAGTCTCCGGCTGTAACAATCCACTACCGCCCGCGAGGACCCAGGTCGATTCCGGCCTGAGGTCCAAAACATTTTTTAATAATCTCCCGTTCATCGCGTCCATTCGCGACCCACCTATCACATCTCTGCGCCCCACCAGTGGGGCGCGCCTCACACTTTGAGAAACGCTGAGTTAATGATATGTAGTGTTTAAATGTCACCATTTGGTATCATGTCAACTCGATTGGAACTAAAATGAATACCAGGTATCAGGTACTATCCATAGTCTCAACCTCAAAGACCGCAAGCAGTGTGGAGACCAGTAGAGCCATACCATGCAGTGAAGAGCTAGCTAACATGTACGTAGTTACTGAGGAGGATGCAGTCCATACACAATGCTTTCCCTTTTTGTTTGCATCTTTTCCTTTAAGCCCCTGTCACACTGTCCCGAAATTGACACCCAATGGACACACGATAAAGGAAATGTTCAAATTCGGCTGTGATCGTAGCAACATCGGGCCATTCGTGAGGGCATCTTAAGCCATCGTATGACCGCCGGTGGAGTTTCTCAGGCTCCGGCAGCAACTTCGTGAGCGGCAACTTCGTAAGGCACTCGTGAGGGCATCTTGTCAAATCGTGTCATCTTCGTGTTATCATCGGTGCCATTGGGCATTCACCCTCACTCTGATCGGGGTGAATGCCCGATGGCACCGATGATAACAAGATGCCCTCACGATGGCCTTACGAAGGGCAACATTCACACACGAATTCAACACGAAAATGAACCTTCGCAAGGTCCTACGGCAATTTTTTGGCATGCCAAAGATTTTGCCACCGCTCACGAAGTTGCTGCCGGAGCCTGAGAAACTCCACCAGCGGTCATACGATGGCTTAAGATGCCCTCACGAATGGCCCGATGTTGCTACGATAACAGCCGAATTTGAACATTTCCTTTATCGTGTGTCCATCGGGTTGTTTTATTGCACAACAAAATCATGTAAACATATTATGTAAATAACCCAATTTGTGTTCTGTGAAACTAAAAAGGATATAATATATTATTTTGAAGGACAGTTGACAGGAAGTTGTTGTTGTTATGGAAACAACATTACGGAGAAAACGTAGGCCTAATATTTTCTACATATAAAGACGGAGAAAGCAAAGAACAAAGTCTGAAGATATCAGTACAGTATCATAGTACTGTAACATAATTGTTTTTGGTACTTTCATTGCAGTTGTATGTCTTAAATGTAATGTAAATGTTGCCTTCGTGTGTGGTTCGGGGCCATCTTCGTGCGAAATTCACAATTCCATATTCGTGTGTCCATCGGGTGTCAATTTCGGGACAGTGTGACAGGGGCTTTAAGAAAGAAAACTGAGGTTTTGGAAAAGTCACAAAATATGTCTCATCTGTGAGATAACTGTTGACATTAGGCCAGTTTGACAAAGCGTCATTGTGCCCTGCATTTCAGTAATCTGCCAACATTTCAATGTATCCATCGTGGAGGAGGAACTGGAATGTCTCTGAATCAGACCAGTTCTGTTGAATCACATGTTGTCTATGGCTGCCAAGAAAGAAGTAAACAAATTGATTTGTGCTCTACAACAACAAGGTCAAAGAGTCACTGCAGGAGGGCTGCCAAATGAATTACAATGATTATTGATTTTGTTTCACCAGGGACATCTATGTTTATCTTTTAAATAAAAAGGTATATTCATATTAATTTGTCAATTATTAGTAATATATACTAATATAATATAATATACTTAGTTTTGTATAAATGCTCAGTTTATACATGGCCCTTTAGGCCGCCCTACAGTTATCGTAGTCTGAGTTTACCTTAAAAAGGTTAATGGTGAAGAGTTTGACTTACTGTATGTTTAGAAGTCTAGTCTACTACTTTGTATTCATACCTCTGTACAGTAAGTGGGTGAAACAGCATTTCGATCTCCCTGTCTGTATCACACACACAGAAATGGACAATCAAGTTGACTTTGACTTATGCTATTAAAATGGCGGAAAACAGGTCATTACGCTATGTGTGACATGTAAAAATGTCATGATTGTGTCAGCCCGACAGAACCAGACTATCTGATCCTTCCATAGAGACTCGAAGAAGACTCGAGCATCGTTCTCTCTTCACACTCCAACAGTTGGCCGGCACTGAAGAGAAGCTGTTTACTTCTCTGATACTAACTTGGCACGATCACACTAATAAGAAAGCGATCTGGCCAGTGGACTGTGCCAAGAGAAACACTGCATTACAAATCTGTTTAATGTTCTCTGGCCAGTGGGACAGTATAACAACTGTCGAGACATTTGATCATGTAATGCATGCTTGCACAAATGTAATCTTAACTTGTGCATATGCACACACAAAACACATATTGCAGGATTTACCAGTATATTTTAAATTATGAAATATTTGTGTGTAAATACAAAATATGTGTGTTGATCGAGCAGCTCTTAAATTAATACACAGAAATCATTTTTGTGTTCTGTGCAAATTCAAAGCCAAGACAAAACAAAGCACAAGGGATATCTATTAGGAAATACAAAATATCAAATAAGGATAAAAACCATAAAAGCAGAACAGAATAAATAAACAGAGGTAACAATCACAAATGTGCCGGTTTATCTTTTGTAACTATAGACAGTATAATGTCATTAAATCCTAAGTCAAATGGACCCAACACTGTGTTATAGAGAGTGGTTGACCTACGTTTGGTGCACCGCTGGGACCCCTGAGTTTTGGCCCATCCGTGACAGCACATCCCTCCACAGACGTTCACCCTGAGAACAGAAACACAACAGTTGAGCTGCATTTCAAGATGTCAGCCCAGAGCTTCACTGGCCAGAATAAAGTCTTTCACCTCAGTTAACTCTTAACATCAGCATCAACCCTTCTCATACCTAACTGAACTGTCGCTGGTTCTTACTTGTTTAAGCTAGAGGCTGTTCCTGAATGCATTTGAGATAAGAAATAGGTCTTTTCAAGTTCATTTAATGCCATTTTTACTGTGCAATTCGGTCTGAATTGCACAGTAACAATTGTTATCCACAAAGTTCAGGGGGTTTGAGACAGGTCACATGTTATAGAAGGTTCCACCACAGTTATCTGACTTTTGGCTCATATCTGCATGGCAGACCGGATGTTTTCCAGACTGGAGTGACGTCCTGAACAGAGTTAATGAGATGTGGTTTGGTTTGGTTTGGTGATGCTAAATGTGACTGGGAAGGCAGGAATTCTCTGAGATACTGAAGCTGCTGAGGTGGAGTGTTTCTTGTGGTAAGTATATTTGCTTTGCAATGCCATCCTGAATCACACTACAAAACTTTAGTTTGGAAAAGGTCTACAGAGACTTGATTGAGTCAGACTGTTGGAAGCTGAACAGACCGGGGAACTGGACTCACATCCACATCAGAGATTTGGCTAAGATGTGAGTCACAGCCTCTTGACCTTTTGAGGAGTTTAGGATAAAACATTTTTTAAATTCTGAAACAGCATAGGTCATCAGGGCTACGTCACATCCGGTCTCAGCTCAGTCAAAAAATGGAGGGAACATATAAATGCAGCTTTTAGCGCATTTCCAACTTTTAGGCCCCAATGAGGTCCAGTCAAGTGTTCATACTGGGTAGTTAGATTTCACTAGCAATCTGCTGATTTTAAAACGTCTGTTTACCAATGTAAGTTATTGTGATAAAGTATTTTTGGGACCTAATAACCACTTTCTGACCTTTAAGAAGATTTGCCTAAACGCCGGCTCACTCCCTGGGGTTGGGGGTGGAGAATGATATATCTATGAATGACGTATCTATGGCGATGGTGTGTTGCTCATGTGTTCACCTGCTTTGGACCCATTCATGTGTGTTATAGTGTCTGGTCGCTGTCTGCAGTGTACATGTAGTACCATAAACTGATAAATGATTAGTCAGCTGTTTTTACACCTGTTTCTTTCTGCCTACTTTATCTCTATCTATCTCACTTTACTTATCTTAATCTCTCTTCCTCTCAGTTTCCTTTTTTTCCCTCTCCAGGTCATCAAATAATCACACAGTTGGCCAGCAATGGTTTAACACTGCAGTGTTCTCCAAAGTTTGGAGATGTATTTGTAGGTCAGCCCCAATGCACAGGGCAGGTTGTTAATGAGCCGGGGAGAAGATCCAACTTTTCAGTCGGCTGTCAAACAGAACTGTATCTATGTGTTATTTGCAAGATAATTCCAATGCTTGTTGAATAGATTCAATAAATATATTCAAGAAACGTTGGGACTTTTGTTGCTGCCATGTTTTCTAAATCCTAGTCACAGAACATTTGACAGACAGAAAGACAGAGTTCATGAAAACATGGAGGAGAAGTCATGGGGGCCATAACACTCAAATCAACAGTGCTAGTGTTAGGCTACAATGGTTCCATCATACGCAGCATCTTATGCATTGGTCAACTCTGTTTCACTTTCAAAATGAAACTACAGCAACAGAGAGGCTTATTACTCCATAATGACTGAGTCGTTTGCTTTTGTGTGAGTGGCAGCACTCCACAGCTGAACTATATTTAATAATCACACAATGCTCTGATGGGCCATAAACTGAGCAGCTGAGGTCAAGGCCCATACACTGCCTGGTGGCCTCTTGGTGTTCTACTGATGGTTTCCTGGAGCCTACAGGTGAGATGGGGTGGTGTTGGGGGGGGGGGGGGGGGGGGTGGCTTAAGAGCAGCAGCAGTCCAGATGCAGGTCAGCAGCAGATTGAATAGAGCGTCAGATTCAGGAGAACATGTTAAGTTGTTGGTGTGGAGGGGTAAGGCATGCTATCTGTACTTGTAGCTTGAGTTGACTGCCTGAAATAGCTCACAGGCCTGTGCTCCATTCGTTTTAAACAAAGGGAAATCCACTGCTTAAGCCACTTATCAGCAACTTACACAGGTAGTACGTTTAAGGACGGAACACACAAGCTGATGTGATGAGTGTCTCTCAGCCTGTCCTTCCAACACTTCTGTTTGGGTGTTTGAGTCCTACATGGCACTGACACCTAGAGTTTTCAGGAAAGCCAGATAGACATGTATGCTGTACATAAATAACTAAAGATGAATTGAATCCAGCACATAGCTGACTTTAAAACATTATAGACTTTTTTTAAATAAAATGCACAAATAAGAGATTTTATTGGATAATGGCCGATTATGAAAGCTTTGATTTCTCGCCGCCTATAGTGTGGAAAAAATATGAAGTATCTTTCACATTAATGGAGCCAGCGTCTCACAGCTATTAGAACAACTCTTTCTTCACCACTGATGAGTTAGCAAAATACTTTAAATTAATTATTTTGTTTCTTATTTACCATTCAACCCTTTACTTAAACTGCTGGCACATTTGATGTTGTCCCTGCACCAGCCTATACAGTTAACTGGTTCAGTTCTGTCTCTGCCTCAGCCAGCACCAAGCACAATTTGTAGGTTTTTCCATAAGAAAATACTGGTTAAGTCTGCTTTTATTAAGTTTGATCCAAAACAAATCACCAGATGTGAACCCTCTCCAAGCACCAAACAGCTGGACTTTGGTCACAGGTTAAGAGGTGGTCTTGGTCCAGATCAAGCTGAAGGTTTTACAGGCATCTGGTCCAACCTCAGAGTCAGTTGAAAAAGGCTTCCCAAACTTCAGACACTTGTAGAGTTCTGTAGTCCGCTCACATCTTTGCAATGCAAACCAAGATTTACTTGAACGGCAATAAAACAATGTAAAATAATTAGGGCCGGGACTTTAACGCGTTAATTAAGATTAATTAATTACACAAAAATTAACGCGTTAAAAAAATTAACGCATTTTAATCGCACTTATTTTTGCACCGTGGAACGTTTCTCACTGGATGAGTTTCAGGCGTACCGATTATACTGGAGCACCAACTAACGTTCATGACTTCAGACAACAACAAACCACAGTGAACAACAGTGGGAAATGTTGTTTTAAAAAACGGACGGATGGAAGCGTCGATAAGAGCACGGTTGTGTGCAAATTATGCAAAAAGGAATTCGCATATCACCGCAGCACATCAAGCCTCAAGTATCACCTCAATGCAAAACATATAGCAGCTAGCGTGGAAGCTAGCGTGGACGTTAGCCTCTTTTATCGCGTTCACACCAAAAAGAGCCGGTACTAAAATGTGTTAATGAGAACCTTTTTACCCCCACGAAAGTCCCTGCTAGAGAGCAGAGAGCTGCTAGAGAGCAGGGACTTTCGTGCGGCTCTCTTGTGAGAAAAGAGCTATATTTCTGATTGGCTGGGCGGATTGCAAACCACGCCCCGTAAAACTCCCAAAAAGTTTTGTGAAGCCGCCATTTTATTATCCTCGCATTAGCATTATTAGCATTAGCCCAGCGCAGAAACGCAGAGAGACTAACTTATGGCAACACAAAATAAAACATGGGAGCGGTGGAGATGAGGAGGTGTCGGCGTTCTGGCGATTTACTCGGAAGGCTGCTGGGACTCCCAGCAGCTTCTACTGAAGCCAGTCCCTAACTCCGGGGACTTCCGGCCGGGGACTTTGGGCGGCAGTATACGCCGTGAAGTGGTTTGCGGCCTGCCAGTAAACCCAAAGCAGAAGAAGAAGAAGTGACGTCAGCGGCTTCATTTGCCTAATCCACCCCCAGGTTCAAAGAGTTCTCATGAACTAAATTCTCATGAACCTTTGTGGGAAAAGTACTGCGGTGTGAATGCGCCTAATGGTATACTAAAATCCATGTGAAAAAAAATTGCTTCTCACTGTTCTTAGGTCAAATATGTATATGCGATTAAAAATGCGATTAATTTCGATTAATTCATTACAAAGCCTCTAATTAATTAGATTAATTTTTTTAATCGAGTCCCGGCCCTAAAATAATGTAATGTAATGTAATGTAATAATGTCAACATGTCTGTACCTTCAGGTGTGTAAAGGCCCTGAGTTGATTCCATTACATTTGCAAACTCTAAATGTGTTGCAACCCCAAGCAGGTGTTTTCACTTATTCAGGATAAAAGACAATGAACCAAAAAGTGTGTATCTACATCTTCATAAAAAAAACAGCATGTGTGTACCGTGTAATGATTCTGAAATAATTCAACTTCACTATTGACCACTCAAAGATGGGTGGAAAATGTATTACTATTGCTTTTCAATTTCCAGAACTGTACAGTAAAATAATCGCCTCAAATCAAGATCAGCTGATTAGCAACTGTTTAGTACTGTGCCACATTACCTTGAGTCCCAGAGTGGTAAATAGACAAAAGTGTTGGCAATTATAAAAACGTGATGGGAGAATGTGAAGAGCTGTACATAAAAATATAATGATCTTGGTACTTCATATCCATTATGTGAATTTTTGAAGAATGCGCAGGGGCTTTTTAATCAATTGCTTCTTCGATTTGTTTTGTGTCGTTGCAATAACCTTCCCTACTATTAACACTACACCTCCAACAACATGCTGTATGGCAGTGCTTTAATGCTTCATCACATTCTAGTTTGGGCCTAGAAGTGAATGGAGAGTTGGATTTATAGAAGTACAAGTACTGCTCTTTAACACTGATATGTATCTGTCTTAGAGTTAGGAATAATTTCATTTTATAATAATTTGATAATATTATCAGCATTAATTGAATTACTTAGCAAACACAGACAGCTTGACCAGTCAAGTGGTATTCAACCAATCACTCTGATCTGTGCTGCCCACTCCAATTAGTGTCACAGAGAAGTCAGCAGCTGATAACAGTGTGTGTTCTTTAGGGAGAAAGCACCAGATCTGCAGGGTAAATCTGTGCCATTAAAGTGAGATAAGGCTGTCATAGTAGGCGTTGGTATAAACCATGCCAGAGGTGCCAACTGGTGCAGTGTGAGAGGCTATTTTCCTGAGAGCAGTGTTTGGTTTATGATAAAGTCAGGAAGTCCTTGACAGGAAGTCATTAAGCTCCTTCTCATTTTCCCACTAGAACCACATTCCTCCGTGCTGACATGAGCCTCTTACCCAGACAGCTTCACGGTCTGCTGCTGGCTCTGCCCACCGGGACCGGAGTCCGCCTGGTTCCCCATCCTGCGGGTCCGCACCGGGCCGCCGAGCTCCGCGTTGAGCTCCACGTTGTATGTGTGCCCCGCTGCACCGTGACGCGTGGAGATGGAGCTGAGCCGCGCCGGGCCGCCGGCTCCGGCTCCCGGGCCGGGCTGCAGCACGTACAGCCGCCTGAAGCCGCGCTGCTCCGCCGGCACACACACCGAGGAGAGGAACAGACCCAGAGAGAACAGCAGGCCGCATATAATCCAAGCCATATCCACACCGAACACTGAGTTGTTTAAGTTTTGGGGAAAAAATATGTCCGAGACTTTACTTCTTACACGTGAGGAAAACGGTTATATTCCTGAACATATTCCTGTAGGTATACCTCCTCCCGGTATGGTAAAGCAGTAACGGCTGGTGAATAATATAAAAACCAGGCGGGTACCGTGTAGCGCTCCTCGGTGGTCGTCGCTCCGCTCTCTGTCTCCTGAAGGCCGAGCTGCTCTTCTGCAGATCTCCGAGAACTCCAGGAAAGTTCCTCTGTTGGAGGTGAACAGACTAGGAGCAGCCAGCCTCCAGACGTGACGTCGGGGGGCGGGGGGGGGCTACACACTCACCCCGACAACATTTGCTGGGAGTTTTTTGGGGCCCAAGGGTGTCAGAGGACCCAAACCAAGACCCCACCCACCCCAGCACACACACACACACACACACACACCATGTATACATCACTTCAGGGGACATTACATTGACTTACATGCATTTCCTGGAGACTTATCCTAACCTTAACCATAACCAACACATGCCTAACCCTAACCCTTAACCTTACCCTAACCCTAATCCTAAACCTAACCAAGTCTTCACCCTAAAATGAATGATTCCCTTCATGGGGACCTCCAATTTGTCCCCATAAGGGAAGCCAGTCCCCACACGCGACTATGTAAACAGATTTAGGTCCCCACAAGTATAGTAATGCTAGACCACACACACACACATACCATGTATACATCACTTCAGGGGACATTACATTGACTTACATGCATTTCCTGGAGACGTATCCTAACCTTAACCATAACCAATACATGCCTAACCCTAACCCTTACCCTTACCCTAAACAAGTCTTCACCCTAAAATTAATGATTCCCCTCATGGGGACCTCCAATTTGTCTCCATAAGGGAGGCGAGTCCCCACACGTGACTGTGTAAACAGATGTAGGTCCCCACAAGTATAGTAATGCTAGGCCACACACACACACACTTTCTTCAGTCACTTTTCTGTAAATTGATACAGGCTCAGGCTTGGGGAGTAATGGAATGTAACGGGATAACGTAGTTAGAAAGGTAAAAAAGGTTACTGTATTCCCTTACAGTCACAGAAAGAAGGTGCAGGCTATCAGATTTCTGATGCCTTTTTGTAAAATGGGGATTATTAGCAGGGTTAAAATGTTACGATACATTCTAAAAAAAGAACAATATATTACAAAGCACATACATACATTGCAACACTAAATGAATTAAAACATATGTATCTTCTAATGTATTAGTTCAAATAATGTGTTTGGGTTGAAATGTTGCCAAAATATGTTTTCATTAAGCTAATACATCACCGGCAGGGGCTCAGTCAGTAGGGCTTGGACTGGGAGCCGTAGTGTTGCCGGTTCAAGTCCCTGACTGACCTAAATATGTATGGGATTAGTTTTGTATCATAAAGATAAAGCAACACTTTCTCAGAATAAAGCAAAACTATGAGTTTAAAAGAAGAAAAAAACTGAGTCAAGCAAAATAAAATATATTTCAAAAATAAAAATAAAAGTTGCAAACAAATCATTTGTGTAATCATGTAAACTATAAGTATTTTTTCTTTGTTTTAACATAGGTTTTTGTTTGCAGTTCTTGTTTCTTCTTTCTCAATGATCAGACTTTTGCTCTCGCTGCAGCTCTTCTCATTTGCGCTCATTCACTTTTTGTTTGAGATGCTGACACAAACGTCCCAGGTGGGCGGGACTTTCAGGGGTGCGTTGGCTACTCGGTTTTTGAGTGATAGCCCGGTCCTCCAGCGATTGTACAGTGCAGCTGCGGTGCGGTAGCTGCCTGAGCGTAGATAGAACACCCGCAGAAGAACCAGCATTTCAATTATTTATTTTACTACAAGTGAAAATATATGTAAGTATTGATCATTTGTTTTGTTTGTGCTGTACTATACGGTCTGTTTCTATATTGTGTTAAGTGAGAAGTAAAGAAAAGTTGTGCTATGAAAGTTAGCTTTTGCTAACTTTAGATCCATAACAATGCAAGCTAAGTATAGCCTAATAGCAGGGACAGTTAGCTACAAAGCGAGCAGTGAGTGAGCGTTCAGACACCGGCGCACACACTCAAACGGACTCATGTGCCTGACTCTACCAACAGGCTTTCATGATTCTGTTTAGATATGCAAGTATAAGCCATGAAAGCTTATTTTATTAACACGCTAATTTGATATGAAAATCAATGGAGGCTGAGTTAACTTTGTAGGAAAACCTACCGTCCATGACTGCCCTTGAGCTGTGTTTTATTTGTTAACTTCATATTTTTCATTTCCTAAAACATTTATTTTCCTCTCATATTTACAGTGTGGATCATAGAGACAGCGTGGCGTCCAGAGTCTTATCCCGTTTTCCCACTTTCTCTGACTGAGGGGACAGCATCAGATCCTAGGAGGGGGGCATGAAGAAAGACCTGCACCATCTTCATCCATGCTGGTCGTTGCTGTTATCACTGGCTCAGTGTCATTTCATTTGACCAAATGTCTTTACATATACATTTAATAGATATTATTATCCACCTTTTGTTTTATGTCCTTTTATTTAAAATATTCTTTGAGACTTCATCTTCTGGTTCAAATTTCAATAAATGTAATTTGTATAATCTCTCTTTTGTCTTTATTCCACATGAAAATGTTAGAGATTACATTCAAATCCGTTTGTAGCTGCTCTCGGCAATAATCACAGCAGAGTCTCGACGGATGCAATTTCTTTGATGGTCTTTCAATCATCGTGAAAACTAAAATATATACAGACATAGAACAAGTACAAATCATTGATTAAATCACAAATATATATTCACGGATCAAACAAACACTTGTAATACAGTCCCTGTAACGTACCTCGCTCCGCTCACCGAGGGTGCAATATGTGCGACGTTAGGCATGGCAGTCCTGAGCCAAGGAACAACACACACAGTTTCAATTAAAACCTATACAAACCGATTATATAACACAATGTTCGTGGCAATTCAGTAACTTACATGTATGTTTGAGAGGTCCGTAGCACAGGCTGGACCTCGTTGCCTGGGAACAGTTTAAATCAGTTATGATTCCGGGGTTCGCAGCGTCACACCCATACCTACGCCCGCCCCTAACCATGCATATTAAAATAACGTAGCGGTCAGTTACACTCCCACCATATCCTGTCCTGATGAACAAACTTAACGAGGTAAACAAACTGGGTGAATCATACAGGATTTCTAGACCGTCAAAAAACAAAACACACTTAAAGGTATGGTGGTTCACACACAAATAAGCTTTGTCGCCTAAGCAAACATGTTTACTAGTATGTCTGATGCAAGTGTATTTTAGCCAATTATTCACCTTCAATGAGTAAAACTAGCTTCTGAATGGGACGTTCTATGATTGAGGGTTTGGAGGTGTAATCTTGGTTCTTTGTTGATTTCCGATCTCCAACTTGCACCTTGACTCGACGAACCAAACCATCGGTCCCTTCAGTTGTCTCGACCACTCGACCTAGCTGCCACTGATTCCTTGGAAGCATGTCTTCCTTGATCCTTGCAACCACCTTAACGAGCGTAGTCCATGAAGAGAACCGACTCAGGCGACTTAGAACGTCCTGCTGCTCGCTGACTTGAGTTGCGAATGCTTGAATCGATTTAACTTCTGGATCACCAACTAGCAGCTCAGTTGAAGGGGTAGGTGATGGAAGCGCCTTCTGTTCCCATAAAAACGTAGGCCCTAATAACCAGATAGTTGAAGTGATGTCCGCTGCATGAAGACCTCTGGAGGCATGGTCAGCTGGGTTTTGTGTTGTATCAACGTAGTGCCACTGGGTTGCTTGTGTATTATCTCTTATCAGTTTAACACGATTTGCAACGAACACATGAAACCTTCTTGCTTCGTTGTTGATGTATGCAAGCACCACCTGAGAGTCAGTCCAGAAGTATTCTTCGTCAATTTTCATCTCAAGCTCAGTTTTCAACAAAACGCTCATCCTGGCTGAGGTGACCGCGGCTGAGAGTTCAAGTCTGGGAATGCTGGTGATCTTAGTAGGTGCGACTCTTGCCTTTGACATTACGAGACTGCAATGGATTTCGTCTTTGTCATTCTTGTACCTGAGGTAGGAACATGCACCGTATCCGACATTGCTAGCATCTGAGAAGTGGTGCAGTTCTACTCTCACAATTTTACCAAAGTCTTGAGGGTGGTAGCATCTGGGTATAGTGACTTCCTTTAGCCTTTGAAGACCGTTCTTCCACTCCTCCCACCGTGAACGTAAGTTCTCAGGAAGTGGATCATCCCATCCGATGCCTCTGCGGCACAGCTCTTGCAGAATGCACTTTCCCGTCAGGGCGAAGGGAGAAACAAAACCGAGTGGGTCGTAAAGAGAGGCAACGACTGACAGAAGGCCACGGCGGGTTGGTGGCTGGTCCTTTGGTTCGATGTTGAAGCTGAACGTGTCGTTTTCCATTGAATGCCAAGAATGTGTCCTTCTGTTGTTGCATCAGGGTTAAGATTGAGAGGGTCAGTGGTTACTGCTCTTTCTAAGGGGGCTATGCAGGACAGTGCTTCCTTTTGATTTGAGTTGAACTTGTGAAGACGTAAGCCTGCATTTTTGCAGTTCCTGCGCTTGGACTATCAGTCCTTTTGCCGCTACGACTGATGGAACACTGGTTAGCCCATCGTCCACGTAAAAGTTATTCTCGATGAAAGCTGATGCTAACGGGTAGTCACTTTTGTGGTGCTGAGCCAGGTATTTAAGTCCAAAGTTGGCGCATCCAGGGGATGAGGAGGCACCAAAGAGGTGGACTGTCATTCTATACTCTTGCGGTTCTGTTTCCAGCTGTCCGCCCTCCCACCAAAGGAACCTCAGGTAGTTGCGGGCTTCAGGTGAGACGTGGAATTGGTGAAACATCCTTTCGATGTCACAGATCACTGCCACTGCTTCCCTTCTAAAGCGACAAAGGACTCCCACCAGTGAGTTGATTAGGTCGGGACCTGTGAGTAGAGTATCGTTTAGAGAGATACCGCTAAACTTTGCTGAACAGTCGAAAACAACTCTTAGTTTGCCTGGCTTCTTGGGGTGGTATACCCCGTGATGAGGAATGTACCAAACTGTCTCTCCTTCGGGAGCTGTGGACGCTAGCTCTGCATCGCCTTTGCTAATTATTTCTTTCATGAAGGCAGTATAATGATCGTAATAGTTTTTGTTGGCTTTTAACTTTTTCTTAAGGTGTTGCAGCCGGATAGTCGCCAGCTTCTTATTGTTTGGTAGTGATGGTGGACTAATGTCCTTGAAAGG